CGAGGACAGACTGAATTGAAAGAAATTTCCGAAAAACTGGAAAGAGTTTGTGGAAACGAGAAATCGATGCGACGTCCATCACGCGTAAACTGTGCAACAGATACAAACCAACAACAGTTCGAAGAAGTCGACTCGCGAACACGTCACGAGAGGCATGCAATCGTACTGAAACAACGTACACAAGAAAGTCTCGTTAAGTAACCTATAGTAATGGCACGGCCGTGTACATACGAAGCCTTGGCAAAAACTATCGAGAATCCTACAGGCAAAACCGTGCCAAACTTCTTTCTCTCTTTCTCCCATACATTCCGACGTGAACCACGAAACGCCGATCAACGAACAACAATATCGAATACCCAGAACACAACACAGTGTCGGCACAATCAAACAATGTCACGTAACGCGTATATTGTCGTCCTCCTCTGTGTGTATGCGTGCCTGTGTATACGTGACAGAGGGGAAGGAACAGACTTGATCCTCTCGGTAGAAGAGCTTCGAAAGGAATTCAATTTCGATGCTGGCGCTCGATCGTTGTACCAACGAGCTCGAGGCAATTGTATCAAGAATCAAGAAGCTCGGTACGAGCATCTTCGTACATGCACAGACACGCACTCTTTCTCGTTCTCGCTTTTTTCCCCATCTTCGTTCCGCACTAACCGTCCACGCAAACAGCAAGGCGATCGTCAATCGTCGACGCATGCACGGTGGCCACCGGTAAAATCTAATCTACGCTCACGGTATCTTTGACCGGGCCGTTCACGCAGATAGGGGCGACGATGTTTCTTCGGAGTGTACACGGGATACGCGATACCGCGAGAACCCGATTGTCACCCGTTTCGATTTCGACAGACTGGCGCGGATACGTTACCGGTTTCTGTCGGTTCGCCTCGCACACATACACGCGCGAAACGTCCTCGTGCCCGCGTACAACAAACGCGTTCGTTTCGACGCGCCAGCGGAAACGAACGACGACACGAACAGCCTGTTTCGCGGCTAGACACCGGAGCAGCACGTCGATCGTTTCGTACCGTCGCGAAGGAACATCGGAACTGGACTGCACGAAGGAATCCCTGCTTGGCGGACGTAGGAGGTGGAAATTAATTCGCGTGGCCGCCGCGGCCGCGGCCGTGGCGCTGCGCCTCTGTCACACTATCGCCAACACGGATCAGCTGATCGTTGCGATCGTGCAGTTTCCATGAAACTCTGCTGCGCGATCGTTCGATTGTTCAAAAATCGAAAGATTCGAAAGGAGACTGAACGTTCGAGAAAGAAAGATTCGGTACTCCGAAAGTTACGCAGTAAAAATAGCGATATATAGTATTGTCATGCCTTGCGGAGGATCGTTTGGACATCGCCCGAGAATTAACATAACCTTTTACTATTAACACTAAACCAAATGGGGTCAAATGACTTCTTTTCAAAATTTACTTTAAATAAAAATATATGTTTAAGTATTTTATCAGAAATCAGAAGTTATGTTGCAAATTATTTCCTTTAATATATTAAGAATTTCTTTCTAAAAATCAACGTTTATTCACAAGGGGTCAAATGACCCCTTTTCAAAATTTAAATAAAAATACATGTTTAAGTATTTTATTAGAAATCAGAGGTTATGTTGTAAATTATTTCCTTTCATAAATTAAGAATTCCTTTCTAAAAATCAACGTTTATTCATAAAGGGTCAAATAACCCCTTTTCAAAATTTACTTTAAATAAAAATACATGTTTCAGTATTTTATTAGAAATCAGAGGTTATGTTGCAAATTATTTCCTTTGATAAATTAAGAATTCCTTTCTAAAAATCAACGTTTATTCATAAGGGGTCACAAATGAT